CCACTGCAGCACCACCTGCTAAACCCACCACAGTGGCACCACAAGCTACACATACCACTGCATCAAAACCATATAATTCAGCCACTGCAGCACCACCTGCTACACCCATCACAATGGTACCACTACTACATTCACCACAGCATCATGACACCACAAGCTACAACATCCACTGCATCAAAAACAGATAATTCAGCCACTGCAGCACCACCTGCTACACCCATCACAATGGTACCACAACTACATTCACCACAGCATCATGACACCACAAGCTACAACACCCACCGCATCAAAACCAGATACTTCAGTCACTGCAGCACCACCTGCTACACCCATCACAATGGTACCACTACTACATTCACCACAGCATCATGACACCACCAGCTACAACACCCACCGCATCAAAACCAGATACTTCAGTCACTGCAGCACCACCTGCTACACCCATCACAATGGTACCACAACTACATTCACCACAGCATCATGACACCACAAGCTACAACATCCACCGCATCAAAACTACATTCACCAGTGCAGCACGACCAACTACACTCACCACTACAGCATCACCAATTACTGCTTCAGCTGCAGTACAACCAACAGCCTCATCTTCAGCAACAGCAACAACACTTACTACTACAACAAAACCAACTTCTACAGTACTGCCAGCACAATCCTCCACCATCAGCAGCTACATCTCTCAATGATTCACCACCAGCAACACTCCCTAGTGCCACACCACCAGCTACATCTTCCACTGCAAAATCACTAACTTTAGCCTTCTCTGCAATGTCACCACCAGTTTTAGTCTCTACTGCAAAAGGCCAACTTCACACTCCACTGCTACAGCTGGATACCCTAGTCCATCACCATGAGCTCTATCAACAACTCCAGTGTTATTTGCCCCACCAGTTGCCAATGATGGTGCCTGAGCTTGTGAGCGGTACAGAAAAGAAGATCTCTACCCCTCCCCCAACAGATCAACAATATCCTTAAATAAAATCAGTACCCTAATATGGGACTGACATATTGGAGAATATACCAAACTAGTAAGCTGTTTGTAGAGAGCTCTCTATTTTGGTATCCTTAAATGTGGCAGTCTTTCATAAGGATACCAAATTAGGGTAATGAGGTACCCTTATGTGGGTTTGCCATATTTAAGGATACCAAATTAGGGAAATGAGGTACCCTTATGTGGGTTTGCCATATTTAAGGATACCAAATTAGGGTAATGAGGTACCCTTATGTGGGTTTGCCATATTTAAGGATACCAAATTAGGGTAATGAGGTACCCTTATGTGGGTTTGCCATATTTAAGTATACCAAATTAGGGTAATGAGGTAACCTTATGTGGATTTGCCATATTTAAAGATACCAAATTATGGAACTATCAACTAAAATGACTCTCTAATTAGGTTGTGGCATCCTTAAAATTGGTAATCCCACATAAGGGTACCAATTTTAAATATTATTTTCATTAGAATGAATCAAACTAAAAATTTCTTCTCATGTGATTCGTTCATTAGTTCATTCTTCTATTGTGCCAATCTGAATTTGGATGAATGGTACGAAAATAAATGCCCGAGTCTACTATGTACATTATTTTTGTCTACTGGGGGATAAGAATTCCCTGGGTTGTTTTATGCTGCCTACTGCATCCTAACCAGTTAGAAGTTAAGCAGTTGACCTTTATCCCTTTTCTTTGATATTTTTGACCATTAAATGTTAATCCACAAACACAAATCTTTTGGCTTAAGTGATCATTCACAGAAACTTTTTTTAGTTATTACTTATCTAAATTTCACATTAAAGGATCTGCAAATACAAGAAAATACTCTACGAAATCTTGCAAAGCTACTTAACTCCTTAGTTACTTTTCCGAGATTCCATTAGTTTGTGATCGATGCTGTTTGTCACTTCTGCTTTGTGTTTGTTTCACAGTAATTTAGCAGCTTCTGTTTAAGTGCACTCATACAAATTATATATAATTCTCAAAAGGAATGACGGGGCTTATTTCTAATACCATACATGTATACACTGATCAGAAACAACATTAAAACCATTTACAGGCGATGTGGATAACATTGATCATATTACAATGGCACTTGTCAAGGGGTGGCATTATTATGCAGCAAGTGAACGGTCAGTTCTTGAATTTCATGTTTTGGAAGCAGGAAAAAGGGCAATCAAAACAATCTGAGTGACTTTGACAAGGGCCAAATAGTGATGGCTAGATGAATGGGTCAGAGCATCTCCAAAACGGCAGGACTTAAGGGGTGTTCTTAGTATGCAGTGGTTAGTATGAATCAAAGATAGTACATGAAAGGACAACCAATGAGCTGGCATCAGGATTATGGGCGCCCAAGACTTATTGATGCACATCACATGGGGATAGTGACATCCTACTGCACAAACTAAAATTGGTGATCGTCCGCTAACCTATTTTCGATCATATGTATCGTATCACTCACAATATGTGTCCATTTCCTACAGCGACTCCCTCCCTCTCCCAGTCACGTCTGGTGTTCCCCAGGGTTCCTTTCTCGGCCCCCTACCATTCACATTATTTATAAATGATCTGCCTAATATCTGCAAGTCTTCAAATATACGCAGATGACACGGTAATCTATTCAAGCAAATCCGATCTACCGCAGCTTGAGGCTGTGCTCCAAGACCAGTTTACAGAGGTAGAAAAGTGGATCACAAAAAACAAACTTCAATCTGTCTTTTGGCCTCCACATAGAAAAACTTTAATCTAAAATTCATCTAAAACGAGGTGCCCTGTACAGAAACAAAGCCTGCCTAAGCCCTACAGTAAAGGAAAACATTGTACATCAAATGCTGATGCCAATCATTGATTATGGAGATGTAGTATATGTATCTGCATCGCAATCCCACATTAATAAACTCAATACCTTGTATACCTCGTTCTGCCGATTTGTGCTACAATGTAATTACAGGACTCACCATTGTGACATGCTAAAAGAATTAAACTGGCTGTCTCTGGAATCCAGATGCACCCTTCATCTTTCCAGCCTTGTGTTTAAGATCTTTTCTGGGAACCTCCCACTCTATCTGAGCAGAATGCTCTAACCGGCTGTTCCCACCTCCTATAACCTCCGATCCAGTACCGACACTTTACTTAGTCTACCTCAATACAAAAAGAAAGCGGCCTGATCCTCCTTTTTCTACAGAGCACCGCAATTATGGAACGGCCTCACACACACTTTCAAATCTTCCCCAGGCCTAA